CCCAGCCCCTTTTCCTTTTCGTCTGTTTAGCTTTTTCGACTCTTCCGTCCCCCGCCGCGTCCCGTTTGATCCTGCATACTTTCTCTTTCTCGCCGCGCCGCGCCCCGTTTCAGCGGGCTCCCGTCACTCGGGGCTCGACGCGATTCTCTGATTCGTTTTTCTTGCTGTTGTTGTTGTCGTCGTCGTCGTCGTCGTCGTCGTTGTTGTTTATAGTCGAAGCTTTATGCCCTGGGACTAAAGAAGACGCTGGAGGCGACGGCCGCTGCGCGCCGCGCTGACTACTCGGGTACTCGGCTCTTCGCGCGACGGGGTTCGGAGTTTAATTGTACGTCTGCTGTTTTCCGTTTGAGATGTTTATTGGGGAGATCGTAATATAGGGTGCACAAAGTTTTCAATAAAGGTAGGAACGCCGGGGAAGGATTCGAATTACGATCTTGCGATCCGGTACGCGGATGGAGTTAATTAATTGACTCGAGGCTCGCGATGTCGGTATCGACTAGGAAATGTTATGGAATTGTTTATGATACGGTAGCGAGTAACATATACACTGCATCCAATTTGAGGAATGCAATTTTATCGAGGGGCAACGCACTCCGCGATTTCCCCAACGTTTCAGCTACTGCGTGCCACGAGGTTACGCTTTAATGTAAATAAATGCAAGTCGATGAACCCGATATTACCTGATATACCTAGCGTTCGGTACTCGAAACCTAGTATTCGAAGTCCTATTTATGTTGGATCAATTTACATCCTCTCTGAAGCGATGTTACAACCCATTTGATAGTGTAAACACAGGCTAGATGCAGATTATATCTCGGTTAGTCCGGGTTTTGTTGGGGTAGATCCGGCTGCTCTTTGATCCTAAGTGTGATTAGATCAAGGTTATCAATGGATTAGTTCTAATGAGGTATAACATATGAAGTGTCAGGGTTAAATCAAGTTTACCTCGTGTAACCTTGTCTCTGGTAGTTCCTCGTCTAAAGTGGAAACGTACATAGTGCCATTATCACCTTAACACTTCGGTTCAACAGTTGATTCTTCGATAATTCCGCCAGTGCCGTTTCTTTTTCGTCTGACTTATAATTGCGTCGATCTACTTATTCCAAACTATGTTTCGTATCTCGCCTCTGACCTAAATTATCAATTCTAAATTGAAGTACACGTTACGTTCCAACCGCATCGTGTCAAGGCACACGTTACGGAGCAAGAGGCGGATAATAATTTTATACCGTATTTCTCCGGAACGTTCTTCCACCGAATCCATTTCCACGAGTTTTTTCGTCGCGGCAGGAATTCCTCGAGTGTCAGATTTCAAACAGTTTTCGGAAACATTTTTCGCGTACGGTAGTTTCCGTTACACGGCGCGAACACAAAGTTTCAGCGGGTAAATTGCTAACGCGATAAAATATTTAACGCGGCACGCACACGGACTAATTTCCGCGAGTATTTTCCTTTCCCCTATTCCGTCGGCATCGATTCCATCTATCTAGCGAATCCGCCTGCCTCCGCGACAGGATTTCACCAGGAAACGTTAGTTGTAATCATGTTCATCGGCCTGATTAATACACGTGTTTGTCGCCGCGTTCAAAACTGCATCCGAGTCGGTGAAACTCAAAGAGTGAAACTTAAAAAATGTCTTCGGCCAGTTCCGCTTCCCAGGGACTGTGAACCCTTGATATCGGATTGCTCGGAATGTTTCGGTTCTAAATATAATTTAAAGAAATGAGACGTCGCTTGGCAAGTCTGACAATATGAATAATAAAATGCATTCAACTATTCGTGGACGTAAAGAATTCGCATGGCAAGTTTTCAGAATATTCCACACGATGTTATTTGAGACAAAGTTCATCAATGATTAATTCGCGAACAATTCAGTCTCAATCCGAGTTCCGTCTGGCTAACAAGCGTTCCATTTCCTTCGGAAGAGCCTTTTTTAGCGCACCACCGAAAAGTTACGAAACACCGTAACGGGACACGCCTACGGAATACGTGAATGCATCGGACGTTTCCCCGGGAACGCATTTCCTTCGGGCGGCAAACAACGCGCTATCGGTGTACCTGAAATGCAAATAACGCCGGATCCAATTTGCAGGTGTTAACTTGAACATCGCGCGTACTCGCAAGACATTAGGTCAAGTAAAGTCACCGCGCGAGCACCGGACTTAACGCTTAATTTCGCGTCGTTAAGGGATGATTTAAATCTCCCGTTCGCACTTTAATTTTCCGCGCCGCCCCGTTGTCTCCCGTGCAGCGAACGAAGTCCAAAGCAGAGGCCATTAAGCTGGAAGAGATCATTAAGCCTTAAAGCGCGACGCACTTCTCGTTTCGCGTAATCACTTGCTCGGTTGAATTCAATATGAATTAGGCGATTCGGGGGGTAAATTCAATTACACGTTACGTCGACCGATATACTTCATATTCGACGGTAATCGGTTCCACTCGTGCCTCGAGATTCTAATCTGAAACTTGAAAAATCCTGTTCACCCGTCTCCCATTCTCCCGTGATTTCGGTCGCTTTTCGACCGTTACCTTTAACGGGATTCACAGTTGAAAGCTTCGCCGGTGATTCGCGCGGTTCCTTTAAACAAATTTTCCCAATATTATTCGACGACTCCGTTACGCGAACGTTACACTCTGTTGCCCGGTAAAGTGAATGCAAGGGACCGTTTCTAGCGAGTCATTACATTTCGTTAATGCACAGAATCCCATGCAGAATTCATAGATCGTCGAAATACTCGGATATATAACCGGCGCACGGTTTCTCTCTCGCGGCGCGTCCACTCGCTCGCTCGCTCGCACGTTCGCTGAAAATTACGCATCCCGTAATTCGACGTTGAATTTCACGCTGCTATCGGGCCTTTAAACATTGATCGCTCGGTCACTTATACCGTACAGCGCGTACCCGGCCGGATTAACTGGCCTGGAAAAATACCTTGCATTCGACGCAACAAAATTCACCGGGGCGATCGCGATGCGATTCGTTTATCGTGCGCTCGAAAGTTTAATTA